GCAACATATGTCTCTCTTCGTATATGATTATGCAATACTGAAGCCTCTATTCATAGATTTTGTCTATCATGTTAATTGTAGAATACAATAACTACTGTAATTTCATTTTTCAAACAAGCTATAACTCTTAACCGATGCTTGTGATCTCCAGTAATTTAAAGGCTATGAACAGAGTAATTCCTGTATGACTGCTACTCAAAGTACAAATAATGAGATGCAGTAGAAAGTCCAGTAAATTTAAAAGAAAAGCCAGCTTACCAAATAACATAAATTTCTAGGACACTTGGGTAGCATCAAATGGATTTTTTTTTTTTTTAAATACTTCAAGTTGTGTAGAACGTCCTGACTTGAGGACTGAGAGTAATGTTAACCAACATAATATAACAAAATCTGGCCATGCTAAAAGCTTAATGAGAGAGGTTGTTACATACTCTCCTTTGCATTAATTTCATCCCTAATATTCATTCTTATTTATCATTGTCCCTCTTTGACAATTTCTTATGCACTCCCATGTGATTATAGCCTTCTATATACATGTATATATATATATTTTTTTTCTCAACAAACCGGCTGTATCCCACCAAGGCAGGGTGGCCCAAAAAGAAAAACGAAAGTTTCTCTTATTAAATTTAGTAATTTATATGGGAGAAGGGGTTACTAGCCCCTTGCTCCCGGCATTTTAGTCGCCTCTTATAACACGCATGGCTTACGGAGGAAGAATTCTGTTCCACTTCCCCATGGAGGTAAGAGGAAGTAAACAAGAACAAGAACTATTAAGAAAACCCAGAGGGTGGTTACATTATATATAGTATATATATATAATAATATATATATATATATAATATATAATATGACATGTGTAGTTGACCTAAGTGTAAGAAGAAGTAGCAAGACGTACCTGAAATCTTGCATGTTTATGAGACAGACAAAAGACACCAGCAATCCTACCATCATGTAAAACAATTACAGGTTTTCGCTGTACACTCGCTTGGCAGGATGGTAGTACCTCCCTGGGCAGTTGCTGTTTACCAACCTACTACCTAGAATATATATATATTTCTTTCAACACACCGGCTGTATCCCACCGAGGCCGGGTGGCCCAAAAGGAAAAACGAAAGTTTCTCCTTTTACATTTAGTAATAAATACAGGAGAAGGGGTTACCAGCCCCTTGCTCCTGGCATTTTAGTCACCTCTTACAACACACATGGCTTATGGAGGAAGAATTCTGTTCCACTTCCCCATGGAGGATATATATATATATATATATAAGTGAAGGGATTCAGGGAAACCGGTTATTTTATATAACCGGACTTGAGTCCTGGAAATGGGAAGTACAATGCCTGCACTCTAAAGGAGGAGTTTGGGATATTGGCAGTTTGGAGAGATATATTGTGTATTTTTAAATGTATATACTTCTAAGCTGTTGTATTCTGGGCACCTCTGCAAAAACAGTGATTATGTGTGAGTGAGGTGAAAGTGTTGAATGATGATGAAAGTACATGTATTTTCTTTTTGGGGATTTTCTTTCTCTTTGGGTCACCCTGCCTCGGTGGGAGACGGCCAACTTGTTGAAAAAAAATATGTATGTATAAATATATTGGTTCCTTTGCTGATTAGTTCTATTCCTTGCCTGAAATGATCACAAATCTTTTCTTCAGAATGTCAATTTTTCCTCAGACTTGCTAAATCTTACGTGATTTCAGCCCTTCTGGTCTTTCTTGATATGTCTATACAGTTACCCATTCCCTGTCCTTAGTACTTTTTTGTTCTGAATTCCCTTTGCATGACTCCAGAGCTTTATGTATGGTCAATTTATAGTGGCTTTTTTTTTGTGGCTGTCTAATATTTTTCCTTTGATAAATATAAAAGCATTGTTGCAGTCCTCTCACCGTAAAAGTTCAGTTTTCATAGAGAATGACAAATCTTTAGTCTCAAACTTTCCTGAGCAAGGTAAACACACAAAGAATACACATATGTACTGTATCTATCTCAGTGTAGTAATGAGTTTCCTTTTATCTTTATTTTAGATATTCACGTATACTTGATGTTAATTTACGGGTAAATTAAATGGCTTTAATGAACCACAAGCAATTAAGCCTAACACACTAACCCTAAACTTTTTAGATTCATCTTTCCTTCTCATATCTGATAGTTTGTTATTGTATGGTATACTGCAAAATACTTATAACTATCTTCATAATATGCACATCTAATTCTGAGTACTCTCATTCTGATAACTCCACTACTTTCCTTCACATTTCAGTTATATTGTTCTGTAGTACTGTTACACTTCAGAGTCCATTTCTCGTGTCACAATTCAATTTCAATCATTCTACTAATCCATACCATGTGGTTAGTCTTGGTTAAACTAAAACTACAAGTAAGTTTTAGTCATTACACAAAATTAAAAAGTTAATTTTCTAGTTTTACTTTTGAAATTCTTATAATGAACTTCAAACCCCACTCTATATGTTCTAGAAACATCACACCTATGAATGTTAATGTGTACAGTACAGTACAGCCTCTCCTCACTTTACAATGGAGTTCTTTTCCTAAGACCATGTCGGTAAACGAATTCGTCACTAAGTGAGGAGCATACTATAATAGTGGGTTTGTGTCAACTATCTTTGATATTGTTTTAATGTCACCTTTGCACCATTTATAACATTTATGGTATATTTTTAAATGTTTATACAGTGGTTTACTGTATATTGTAATAAACAGAATAGAGGAGATCTAATATACATTATTTAAGTAAGCATACTGGTCAGAGAGCCTGCTCTAAGTCCGAGTCGTCGGTAATCGAGTACATTGCTAAGTGAGGAGAGGCTGTATTTTATAATATACCATATAATTATGGAGTATATAGGTAGTAGGTTGGTAGACAGCACCCGCCCAGGGAGGTACTACCGTCCTGCCAAGCGAGTGTAAAACGGAAGCCTGTGATTGTTTTACATGATGGTAGGATTGCTGGTGTCTTTTTATTCTTTTTATACCATTCTATCTCATACCATTCTATCTTATACCATTCTATCTCATACACATGCAAGATTTCAGGTACGTCTTGCTACTTCTACTTACACTTAGGTCACACTACATATACATGTACAAACATGTATATACACACCCCTCTGGGTTTTCTTCTATTTTCTTTCTAGATCTTGTTTATTTCCTCTTACCTCCATGGGGAAGTGGAACAGAATTCTTCCTCCGTAAGCCATGCGTGTTGTAAGAGGCAACTGAAATGCCGGGAGCAACGAGCTAGTAACCTCTTCTCCTGTATATATTGCTAAATGTAAAAAGAGAAACTTTCTTTTTGGCCACCCTGCCTTTGTGGGATACGGCCGGTGTGTTGAAAGAAAGAAGAAGAATTATAGAGTATGGAAGAAGTGGATGTATTTTGGGATTTCCATGTCAGCAGATGAGGTGAGCCATAGAATGCATGAGGGGGAACAGGTGGTTGTGGTGTTGAAATATTTGTGAAAAGAAAAGTATATGAAGAGACCAAGGGGAACATACCAGAGTATAGTGGTATTAACACTTTTATGAGTTTTGAATGCTACAGTGTAGCAAAAAGGAGGCTTAAGAACAATGTGTGGTGTGAATATTGTGCAGAGAATTTGAGCATAGAAATTAAAAGGCAATGTGGGGTGACTAAGAGTATAATTCAGAGAGCTGAGGAGGGGTTGTCTAAGTGGTTTGAACATGTAGAGAGGATGGACAGGGATAGGTCGGCAATGAGGAATGGTTGGAGGGAGGAGATACAAGAGACTGAGTTTTAGGAGCTTGAGCATCTAGAAGGTTCACGTGAATGTGTTAGATACGAGTGAAAAAAATGCGTGGTTTTTAATGGATATACTGTCAGAAGTGTGCTGACACCACAATCGGATTGCCTGTCGTACTGCAACATCCCCACCATCTCTAGAGTTCAGTACTGCCCTTTCTCCCTCCAGGACTTTAGTCTGGCTAACTGGTTTCCCTGAATCCCTTCATAAAAGTTACCGTACTCCCATTCCAACAGCATGTCCATTAAAAATTACTTATCACCTTTCCCTCCCCTCAAGTAAGGTTCCTTGATGTTGGTGAGGGGCTCTTGATTTAGGGAATTGGATCTGTGCTCCAGTTCCCCGAATTAAGCCTGAATGCCTTCCACATCCCCCCCCCCCCAGGCTGTATAATCCTCCGGGTTTAGCGCTTCCCCCTTGATTATAATAATAATACTATCACCTTTCCCAACATGCTCACACAAGCTTGCTGGAAGCTCCAGCTCCTAAAACTCAGATTTTCTTGCACCCTTCCCACCATCTATTCCTGGGGAAAAAAAAAACTTTGTTCTACCTTCCACCCCAGATTTATTCAATCATGCCCAAATTATCTCGGCCCTTCCTCAGCTCTTTGAATTATACATTTGATCATCCTGCATTGCCTATTAATGTCAATGATTTAAACTCTGATATTCACACCACACACTGCTTTCAAACAGGACAATTCTGCTACCTCTAGTCTCTCTTGTGCTGCAAGCATTCAAAACCCATCTCTCTTTCACCCATACAAAAGTTTCAATACCACTATAAGCTCTGGTACATTCCTATATGTATAATGTATACACACACACACATATGTACACACAGCATAAAACAATAGTCACAAAGTGTTTGCATAGAAAGTGTCATTATAATTTTCCATTTCTATGCCTTTATGTATAAAAGTTGCCAGTGTCCCCTTCAATCTCATGAAGTGTCTGATATCTTGAAAATAACCTTTATTTTTTTCTGCCCTAGTTTTTAATGGGTGATCAACAGGTGTATTTATACACTACATTTATTTATGCATCCTTACTTCCAAGGATAATGGTTTCAAAGCATAGCTCAGGTTTGATAACTAGCAAGGCTAGATGCCTTCAGGTGGAGAAAGCTGATACTGTAGTTGCATTTTTAAAAATTTTAGGTATTACTCTTAAGTTATTTTTCTCTCAATGAGCTTTTATAACTAAAAATAGATATGTACATCCCCACAGGTTACGGGCCCCAACACCATATGGTACGTCTGGTCCTTGGCCCATCAAGCCTGATGCTGCGATGTATGAGAGAGAACGTCGTGAAGAAGAGAGACTGAATCGAGAGCGTGAAGAAAGAGAGCGCCGAGAAAGAGAGGAAAGGGAGAAGAGAGAACGAGAAGAAAGAGAAAGACGAGAACGTGAAGAAAGAAGAGAACGAGAGGAGCGAGAGAGAGAACGCGAGCGACGTGCTGAACTTGACAAGGATAGGGTAGCTCGTGCCTTGGATGCTAGTCACGACCGTGGTGTACCCCGTAGAGATAGTTCACGGTCCCCACTTCGACCTGATCATAAAGATCAACTTTCCTCACACGGTTCCAGTCAGCTACCACCTGGTTCAATTCCATCATCAAGCTTGAAGACAGAAGGACGGCCAGATTCACAACCTAGCTCAAGACCAGGGTCTAGAACACATGATCCACGAATTAAACTAGAGGGTAAAGATGAGGTGATGATTGTTGGTGGAAAAGAAGCTCCTCGTCATTTAACGCATGGCATACCACCACCCGTTTTACCACCACCAGTATCTGTGGGTATGCTGCCACCACATTCTCTAGCTGTAACAATGGCAACCACTTCAGCCAATCTGGAGCGAGCCCGTTTATTAGGCCCGTCTTCATATCATGCAAGTGGTCCATCGCATCTAGGAGCATGGGCAGATCCGTTTAGAGATCCTTATCGGTCTGCACAAGAACAGATGTCTGCAGCAAGAGTACATGACCTAGCAGCCAGGGATGCTCTATTAAGGGATTCCTTGCGTGACCCAAGAATGAGTCTGGCAGCCCGTGAAGAACAGATGTTACACACTAATCCTTTATCATCCTTGATACTTAGTGAACGTTATAGAGAACAACATCACCAGCAGCAACAGGCAGCTGCAGCTCGAGAACTTTTTGAGCGTAGTCACCTGGCAGCTGCGGCTGGAGTTCCAGGTGGACTTTACCAACCTACATCACTACTTCCACCTCATCCCTCGGTTTCACATATGGCAACCTCTTTACTTAAAGGTGGCCCTCCTCTGGGTCCTGGGCCTCCCGGACCTCCTGGTTTGCACCCGCCTGGTCTGGGATCTATGCACGGGCCGTCACATCCAGGTCACCCCCAGCCACCACCTCTTGGACCTGGTTTGCCTCCGCCTCTCATCTCCTCCATGCGTGGCTCCTCACCGGCTCACCCACGGCCCCCGGATAAAAAGGATGACCCACGCTGACTCTAGTCATCCCTAGGCCATACTAGGTCTCAGGTGGTGTCCAGCACATGCAAGTGCCCAGGATTAAGTCTGGGCTATGCTGGGCCACCTGCTGCTGCTGCTGGAATCGCCTCTACCGAGGGTGGTGCAGGGCGGGCGGCCCACAAGACTGCAGTACAGCCCCAAGGGTTACCTGTAGTCAACGTGTCTTTCATGATGATCAGGCTGTGGATTGTAACACAAGTTTTGTACCATACCTGTACAGTACGGTGGTCCAGGGCCACAACCTCCATTGCCCTTTTATTTAACATTTTGTAGATATTCATTGTTTTTCCTAAAGTATTTTGTAGAGAAATTAAATTGATATTGACTTGACTGAATGATCTGATGCAGACTGACAATGACATTTGTTAAACTGTTTCTAAATACAGGAGTTTGTTAACAAAATATTTTTTCTTCCTCCTCATATAAAATACACATCACACACATTGGCCCTTTCATGCATGACAGTAATTGCAAAGAGGCCACTAGGCAATGATAATTACTAGCTGAAGATTTTCATGGTCTCCAGTGATTTATGAGGAGATATGCAGTGCTACAAGGGGTTCCCATAGTTAGGTGGAGTGGAAAGTTCTCAAGAGGTAGAATTTTGTACTCCATTTACCCCTTGCAACAGAGCAAAAGGCTTAGAGCTAGTTCTTTCCATTCCCAGTGTATTGTTTTGCATGTGTTTGTATATTTTTATACATGTTTATATGTACATGTATAAAAATATACAAACACATGCAAAACAACACACTGGGAATGGAAAGAACTAGCTCTAAGCCTTTTGCTCTGTTGCAAGGGGTAAATGGAGTACAAAATTCTACCTCTTGAGAACTTTCCACTGAATCTAACTATGGGAACCACTTGTAACACTGCATATCTCCTCATGAATCACTGAAAACCACAAAAACCTTCAGCTAGTAATTTTCATTCCCTCGTGAGCTGTTTGCAATTGTCATACGTGAACATAATTCTTTTTCAGATCACCCTGCCTAGGTGGGAAATGGCCGATATGTATGCATGTGTGTGTGAGAGATTATATATACACACACACACACATACATACAGTCATACCCTGCCCTACATCATTAACTGGTTCCAAAAACCATGACATAACCCGGTTTTTGATATAAACCAGATATAATAAAAAAGACAAACACCATAAAACTAACCATACCCCGGCTGGGATTGAACCCGCGGTCAGAGTCTCAAAACTCCAGCCCATCGCGTTAGCCATTTCGTGAGTCATGAACCATAAAACTAGCAAAAATAACTCGCAAAAGAACATTACTGTAAAAGGAACTGATATTTGAAACACCGCTATGATGATGGAGAGCAGAAACTACTAAAAATTTCAATTATATGTTATAGACTAACCTTGCAAGACTACAGTAATTATGCAAATAAAGATATTTTTTGTGGATCTTAATCAGTAAGGCACTGTGTGATTCCTGTGATATAAAAAATTACAATATAAGAAAAAGGCCTAATTTAAAGGTTCAAGCCTTTCAGGATCTAAACAGCCTACCTCCCAGCCTAAAAGCCCATCCCTCAATGTCTGAACTACTAACCCATATCTTGCTTCATCCCTTAACCCTCTGTCCATCCTCCCCAACCCGCCATCAACCCTTTCTCCCCCTCCCCTCCAGCACTGCCTCCACACTATCATTCTTCAGTTTTCCTCAGCTGTAACTCTGTTCCTCACTTTCCTGTTATACAGAACTCCCTCTCTCACTCTCCTCTATATAGAACCTAACAGACTCAGTCCCTCCATTTTCCCCATATGCTCACCCCACAACCTTGCTATTATTGCCCTGTTCCCTCTATTTTTTCTTTGTGCAGAATTAATGTTGTGTGCTCAAGTCTGGAAGCTATGTGCAGGTGTGTGGTACTAGTACCAACACTTTAATCTATTATAGCATTAATGTACAGTACATTTTATGGTTACCAGAGCCCATAGCTATGCAAGGAGTAGAATGAGTATATAGCAAGAAATAAACCATAAAAATACTTTATATAAAATTTGCTAACTCAGATAAAGCTGTTATTACTAAGAATGTATGTGGCCTTATTAATTTGTACTGGCACTGATGGCTGCTGAGATACTATGTAGGAGTACAGTTTAAAGAGACCACTGCTTGCCATCTATCACTACTGAATCACAATCCCTCAATCAAACCATTCATTGCCAACACACATTTTCTCTCTCGCTTCCCCAGCCATCACCACCACCATTTATCCCTCGAAGAGGAGAGAAACTATACAACATCTTAGCAAATGGCAACAGCCAAACAACTGGAAAATTGTAAATGTGATCTAAATATACGGAACATATACAGGAAGATCTAAGGTACTAGAAAAGACTAAGGTACTAGAAAAGATAAAACAATAATTAAGCTCTTTGAAAGAGACAGATGCATAAGGGATAATTAGCAAATTGAAATATCTCACAAATCTTTTAAAGTGTTTTATAACTTGATGGAATAAAGCAGAAGGGTTGGGTAGACTGCATCTTCCTCACCTGTGGTAAAACATATGAAACTGTACCACACTCGAGACTGCCAGGTAAGGTGCTAAAGTGAATATAGGAATCCCTAGCGAACAGAAGACAGGGTAATAGAAAGGTATCAGCATAGGCAAGGGTGTTGAGAAGATTCCCTTACAGTGCTTGGACCCGTGCTGTTAAGTAAAAGGACACAAGTGCAACTAATGTGACATTTTATTGTGGTAACATTTTGCTCTCCAGGACCTTTGTCAAGCCGTTACAAACAGTACATGGACACAGAGGGTATATATAGGCTCAGAGTGAGGTGCAATACTAGTGGTAGTAGTAGTAGTAGTAATACAATATATTAGAACAATTAACTTGTACATGAGTAAAAGGATATAGAAGCTATTACTTGGGAAACATAAAATAGGTTAGAGAAATATTTCTATTGGAGGCTGGATAGAGAAGGCCTGTTTCAATGTTCATTCTCTGTAATGTGCTTGTGTAGTATTAACAGGAGAGACTATGTGATGGCAGGGTTTACTGTTTTCAGGAGGATTCTTGCTAAGACAGATGGTGAAGCTGCCGTTGTTTTGTTTAATTGTTTTAGAAACAGCTATTAGTGAAGATTCAAGGCACTTGTGTCTGCGGAAATTAGTTTCTTTGATCACTAGTTGGGCATCCCTGAACTTCTTGAGATGATTGGTGAAATTTTGGTGTTGTACACTTATATCACTACTACTACCACCACTAGTACTGCACCTCACTCCGAGCCTATATATACCCTCTGTGTCCATGTACTGTTTGTAACGGCTTGACAAAGCTCCTGGAGAGCGAAACGTTGCCACAATAAAATGTTGCACTTGTGTCCTTTTACTTTACATATTGTCAGTAATTCTACCAACTATATTACACCCCTGCTGTTCTTGATGTACTGTATATAAATTAGATTCCAGAGAAAGGTTATTTTCACTGTGAAACTAATGATGAAGGGTGACAATCAGAGAAGACTGGAGATCAACTAATAGGCTGAAAGAATGTTCTAGAAGGTGACTTAATTCCATTCATACAAGCGGCAAAGTAATAAAAACAAGAAAATTAGAAGACCAGATACAGAATACAACCTGGGAGGTGGGAGGGGGCAAAGTATAAGAAGAAATAACTCGCTAAATGGAGTGGGGTTCGAACCAATGGCAAGCAAGTCTTAAAAGTAGCAGGCCAGATGTGCTATACACGGTAGATATAGCAGGCCAGTGCACTATGTACAGTGGATAGCACACTGGCCTGTTAGTTTTAAGACTGGCTTGACATGGGGTCAAATGCCACACCATTCTGCTAATTATTTACAATTGTATCATTACAATTTTGCATGTCATTTTATAAGAAGAATGATATGTCAGCATCACACCAAATAATCATCAGAGGTACACATCAACTATATAAATTTAGCAGCATATACAATATTAGCTTACCTAAGAAGTGTTTTCAGGAAATAATCATTCAGAACATTATACACTACCATACTTTGGTTAAGGCCATATTTGAGCATGCAGCACCAGCACAGAATTACCTAATTGAATAAATAAACTAGGTAAAAGCCAAAAGGTTTACAGCAACTGTTCCAAGAACCAAAGGGAATAGTCTGTTCCTACAACAATAGAAGAGGATCTGGCTGGGTGGATATAGTATTGACTGATTCCCTTGAATATTTTATACAAGTTAATAGGTACAGATGTTTCTGAGATGCGAGGAGAGTCAGCGTAGCTCAACATAGAGATAATCCACACAGCATTTAAGAAGTAATAGTTTAGCCTTGGGGTGATACGGAGAACACTAGGGCAGTGATTCTCAAGCTACTGTCAAATGCGTACCTCTTGACGTTTATTAATATCAACCACATATCCCATTGTATAATCGAAAAATAACTTTCTATAAATAATGTCTGACAGAGACAGAGATAGAGCAACAACACGTACTCCTATTAGGAGTAAACAACTTTGTTATATAACAGTATAGCTCCTATAAAAAGAAGATAAACTTATGAAACAAATGCATACACATTTTTTAAATACGTTCATTCAAGCATGAACTGCATATGATTAATCAGAACATAAAATAAGACTCATTTAGTTTCTGGGAAATTCTCTGTTGAGGACGCCCATAATTATTCCAAATAGAACCACCCTGAGATCCTCAACACGAGATTATTACTAAGTCTTAATGATGCTTAAAAGAGAATATACTGTCATGTTGACACCTAATAAGTGTTTATTGGGGTTTAAAACCTATCGACTACACAAGGATCATTAAAGCTGTATGTCACCAGATAGGAATACTTTAACCCTAATAAAAGGATTAAAGTGAACAGTCAGCATACATACACTAAGAGACATAACCTAATGGTGTACGTATCTTTAATGATTAATGGACACATGTTTAATTCATATTTTTACAATAAGAATCTACTATGTATTTTTGTGTATATATGGCACTGAAATACTCCTTTTATTCAACCAGACTGCCTCAATATTAGAGAAATTTATATTTGTTTAGGAAATACTACCTCCTGAAAATCCCTTTGCATACCCCTAGGGTACACACATACATGTGGGAACCTCTGCACTAGTGGAAGAGGCAAATGCCCTACAGAGTAGGTACAATTGGGTCAAGGGTGCCAGAAGTAGGTAAATATGATTGATCAGGAGATGTGACTCTACCCCTGAAAACAACTTGGCGAGTACTTCCCCAATCATAATTCCATGATCCATTCCTCCACCTTTCCACCGCATATACCATTCCTTACAAGGGATGTGTAGTTCACTCGTGAAAGTATACGTACGGTTCATGACGAAAAGGTCACAAGTTCGATTTCCAGGAATGACTAGCTGTGTGGGTTAGATTCCTTAAGCCCTTGCCCATTTAGCATTTAAAATAAGTACCTGGCTGCTAGTAGACTGATGTGGCTCACAGGAGGGGAAGGTTCTCAATACAAATGAGTTAGAAAACTGCAGTCCTACTGAAAGTATTCAAGTGTCGAGTAAGAGTGGTGGATGTTCAAAGAGAGAAAAAACTTCCCGTCCTTACTATCATCTGTCACACACACACTTCCATTTCTCACCACTACAATTTCCATCTCTCGCTACTACAGTCACCAGTGTTGCCCACCACCCGTTTACCTTCCCTACAGCCTCCATTATCCCTTACCACCCTTCTTCACTACCCTGAAACCTTCATCCATTACCACCCCAGCAGCCTCCATTAGCTGTCAAAAGAGACCTTGTGAATCTGTCGACAGACAATTCAGAGGCACAGAACAAGGTAGGTGAGACACAGAGTGATGCATAGGGAAGGAACACATTAACATGGACAAAATGTTGAGATACAAGAAATATACACAGTAGGATAACTAGGAAAACCCAAGAGTGTGGCAGTTAATAATACTGAAGCAGAGCAGCCAGGAAAACTTGGCAAAACACTGTAGTAAAGAAGACAAAGTGCCACAGGAAAAAACAATAAAAATGCAATGTATACATATTATGCCAGGGAATTTGCAACTATGGAATAAGATGTAAATACCTGTGTATCAGTATTCCAACATACTGAGAAAAAGGCCGTGTTATTTAAGTAATGGATACTTAGATGTAAAAACTATCACAAACCGTTGTTGAGACCTATGAGAACACGATATGACACTACTTAATGGCCGAAAGCATAGTGAAGAAATAATTTTTAGGGAAAAGCAAACTAACACAATGAGAGAAAACATGGAATACAAACACACACAACAAAGGAACATAGGAAATTAGTTTCTCACATACCAGGGCCATTTAACAGCCCACATTACAGACAGTACTGGATAAACCGGAAATATGTACGCCAAGAGGTACTGGCAAAGCCTACACTAAACCAGAACATCCCAAATCATCCTTCCCTTTTTTTGCCAACATTCAGGGTTTCAAATAAATAATAATGACCCTATTAAAGTATATATATATATATATATATATATATATATATATATATATATATATATATATATATATATATATATTATATATATATAAGTGGGCTCCTCGCAGAAGGAAATACTACGTTTGGAGCATTTATAGTAACACAAGACTATGTATGCTAGAGAGAGATTTATTTGGCTGCACAGATATGTTATTCATCAAATGATAGTGGAATCACTAGGCATCGAAGTGGAAAAACAATAATTTAGTAACTATGCGTGTATATAAACCATAGTCAGTAACAGCTGTGGAATTTGCAGAACACCGAGGATAGATAAACACACTAGAAAATCCCACATCAAATATTATCCTCCTTGGATATTTCATCCACCCAAATGTAAAATGGAAGTTGGTGAATCACGGCGTCGTACTAGAAATAGTGCCTGGAAGTACATAATCTCAAGAGATGCATACCAGAGAGCTAATAGAACTGTGAAAAATCTGCTTTGAACAGGCAAGACCACCTACTAGAAATGAAAATACACCAGACCTGATTTTCATGATCAACGAGAAACTAATTAGAAACAACATTCACCGATACAATAAACTCTGATGATCTCATATTAGTACAAACAAAGTGAAGGAGTATAAAATTCCGCATATATTGAACGAGAATGGAGGGCTGTTCGTTAAATTTAATTTCAATTATTAGGCGTTGCCTGGGAAAGTCATGAACACCCTGAACTTACACCGATGCATGGAAAAGATGAACACAGAAGCATACAAGGTTGTATGGAAAACCTACAAGATTAAATATGACACGAACCCCAGGGAAATAATGGGGTGGATAATGAAAACTTTCAAAAGAAATAGTACCAACATTGAGTGTTCAAATCGCTAATGTTCTCTTGCTTAGAGTAATGTTCAGTGCTAAACGCTCCGTGTAAGGTTCACGAAATCGCAATAACACGATTTAAAACAAATAACAGAACGGGTGGAATTCAACCACTGGCCTGCGAGTTTTAGGACTTGCTGCCAGGGGTTCAACCCCCCCCCCTTCCCCGTGCTGTCATTTAGGCCCCGTCACCTTCCCAACACCCCTTCATCACCCCTACTGTCTTGTCTACCATCAGAATCTGTTCTTTAGTAACGTTTCAGTTTCTCATTAAGTACGTAAATAAATGAACTGTTTCGTCAGACCTCTCAGACCGTCCCACACTCAGTGCTTACTACTCTTGCATGACGTGAAAACTGAATTAGACGAATCAGTAGGGAAATCCTACAAGTTTAATCTCTTCGCCCCGTGACAGGCATCAGGAGGGAAGCCTGTAAGGTTAGTGAGGGAAGGAGGAACGCGCGAGCAGTGTGTTGGGAGAGGTGAGGGAGAGTGGAGGTACGCGCACTGCACAGGGTTGGTGCAGGCCGCGCTGGAGGCCTATTCAATTCCTCCTTTGGATTTTAATAAAACGCGATACTCCTAGGCCAGAGTGTAGGAGAAGCGGAAGGTAAGTTTGTCAGTCTCGTTTACTGTAAAAATGTATTCACTTTAAAAAATATTGGACAAGTGTGATGTGACGAGCCTAACATGGGCTAGTAGGCCTATATTCTCGTGTTACAAAGTTAATGAACTGGAACGCCCACATACTTGGGCAGTACAGAAGCACACACAAACAAGAATATTAAACAGCAAGGAGTGCAAATCAATGCAGTCTAGAGTATTGTTCTGTGAAGCAGGAGAAAAATCACACACCTGGACGGAATGTTTACAGGAGGTGGGAGTTGTGCGCTCCCCTTCCTCTCTTCCCCCATCACAGCAGCTGTGTGGGTATTGTTGGGCTGGGGAGTCGCGAAGCCCATCCCCTCGGGGTTAGAGGGGAGAATTCTGACAGCTGACAGCTTCCTTTCTTCCCCTCCTCCATCTCCCCTCGCTCTCCATCTCTCTCCTTCTCTCCCACTTTACATTTAATATAACTGAAATTTGCATAAAAGCTGAACTGCCAAATATACTAACAGCGACGTCTTGTAAAGGTTACAATGCGTACTCGTGGAATTTATGGATGAGTGTTAGTGGGTCATGCACAGGGGGTGAACAATAAACTAGCCGCTCAGGCAGCACAACTAACCTCTCTTTCCTATATATATCTTATTTGTCTAAATACGACTTGTAGCAGCACAGTGAATGCAATTTAGTGTTTCCAGCAGACGATTCCGATATAGATCAAAAGGTCTATAAGATAAGATTTGTTCGGATTTTTAACCCGGATCCACCCAGGATAACTCAAGAAGTCAGTGCGTCATCGAAGACTGTGTCTTATTTCCATTATGGTCCTTAATCTTGTCCCCTAGGATGCATGCAACCCACACCAGTCGACTAACACTCAAGTACCTTCTGTTACTGCTAGGTGAACAGGTGCAGCAGTTTCGTCACTATGGTTCGAACCCGGGACCTCTCGGTTGTAAGCCGAAAGGTTTCACCACTGAGCTACTCGCCATCCCCTATGACACGTACCAGCATCAATGGAAGTCCTCGACGAGTCAAGTATCATTACTTTCTAAGACCTGCATCAGGTCAGAGGTCACGCACGGTCGCAAAGGGAAGTCGTTACCAGCTTCCACGTGGTGTAATTCCGTAGTTTTTCAGGGACTCACAAGTGAGCGGGGATAGCCTTTTTGCTCGTCGCCAAGTTTATTGTCTGGTGTAACAGCAAGGTAATGTTGTAGTGAAGGAAAAGTTATATACTGTATAAGGGACGAATGGGAAATAATTTAGGATTAAAACAAAAACTGGCTGATTGACAGTGGAAACCTTAAACGTCAAATAAAGCTGGAGGAACAAACACAGAATTCTTAGAAGCAGAACAGTTCCCCAATCCTACATGTTACTCCCACAACTCCAAGATCCTGCCCATCCTGTAATTCACTCCCATAATATCCTGTAACTCCCACACCACCATCCTGAACTCGCTCCCACAACACCCTGCCTATCCTGTATGACGGGTGTGTTAGGTAAATAAGGTTAGTTCTTCCTCTAACCTTGTAAAATGTCATTTAGATCAGGGTTGCCGCACAATGTGGTGTGTTAACCAACTTTGATAAAAAAAGGGGGGGGCGCATCAGCCTTAACTGACCTTCCCGAGCGTGGCGTCTGTCGTGATTATAATAATAATGTTAGGGAAGGAGAAACTCCACAAGAAATATAATAACCAATACGTCATCCATCACACATTACCCAGCAGTATCTCCCTCGCCCCACACACAGCAGTATTTACTCTTAGGGAGGGGACAGGGCAGGAAGGGGGAGGGGACAGGGCAGGAAGGGGGGGACTAGGTAAAAAAATAAAATGGATGGGAGGGAGGTTGAGCGGGGTGTGTTGATATGACGGGGAGGCTGTGTAGGGTGTGTTGATATGAGGGGGTGGGAGACTGAGTAGGGTGTGTTGATAAGAGGGGAGACTGAGAAGGGTGTGTTGATATGAGTGGAAGCTGAGTAGGGCGTGTTGATATGAGTGGAAGCTGAGTAGGGCGTGTTGATATGAGTGGAAGCTGAGTAGGGCGTGTTGATATGAGTGGAAGCTGAGTAGGGCGTGTTGATATGAGTGGAAGCTGAGTAGGGCGTGTTGACATGAGGGGAGGCTGAGTAGGATGTATTAATATGAGGGGGAGGCTGAGTGGGGCGTTGACATGAGGGAGCTGAATGAGTTGTGTTCTTATGAGTGGGAGGCTGAGTGGGGTGTGTTGATATAAAGTATGCTGATACGAAATGGAGGCTGAGTGTGTTGATATGAAGGGTGTGGTGAAAAAGAGGGTGAGGAGACTCAGTGTTCAAGTCTGCTGTGTTGACGCTCAATGCTCGTGTTATCACGCCAGGCATCTCAACGCTGGGGCTGGGAAAGACATGGGACAGAAGCGAGCGTTACGATACGTGAAGGTGGTAAGAGAGGAAGAGAAATGGCCTGGAAAAGGTAGTGTGTGGGAGCGAAGTGGGTGACAACCTTACCTCTTTCCCGATGCTCATCTATCACCAGTGTGACACCTCTTTCCACAGCCTCTGAAAGTAGAGATGAAATAAAAATATTTAATTTTTCACCGATTATAAACTGCATATATTTAGGTAAATGGACACATTTGCAAGGTTTGACTATTTATTCAAGCTCCGTTTTGCTCGGGAGCATTGTCAAGATTCCGACGATATATTTCGACCCTCTACTAGGGTCCTCTTCAGCAGATACAAATAATGAAGAGAAAATGAATATATTGGAAGGTTGTGCCTCTCAGCAGTGTAGGTGAGCATCAGGTCAGCGCGTGGGAAGACATCGGGAAACAAGTGGAACGTAGGCTAAATAAATAATGTGAAGTTAAAAATGTGTCCCTTTAACCAAACTGATTGTTGTTATAGGTATACTAATCATACTCTCAAATTGTTTATAACAAATATTCTAATACGCGTTTTATTACTTACAGTAACCTATCATTCACAGGACTTTGTGACAAAACGCGTATTAGAACATTTGTTATAAACAATTTGAGAGTATGATTAGTATACTTATAACAACAATATATACATCCACCCTTTCCATGTGCATCCTATTGGGACCACCGCTGGGTCGTTAGGCTATCGACACAGTCCTCAAGGATAAACTGACCAACCTGATGAGGATGGAGGAGAGAATAAGTGATCTGGGCCCCCCATGATAACCTGTTATCTCCTCACAAGGTGCCTAACTCTGCCTAGACTTAACCTATTTCTTGAGGTGTGCATCCTCCTTCGAAAGCCCAATACTTAGTGAATATGAAGCACTAGTGAGATCCATCTTTAGAAGGGCACAGAATCTGTCACTGGAAGATCACCAATGGGCTCAAGCATCACTTCCAGTGCGACTGGGAGGTATAGAGGGTGCGCAGCATCGTGCACTGCATCCAGTGAACTAGCAAAGATGTCCATGAACGGTTGAAAAATGTTTTAGGAGCTCACGACCCAAAGTCCATGCAGACTCTTCAAGCAGACCAGCCCCTCCCAGAGATCACAAGCAGTCCCACTGGGCAAGACCGATCGTGCAGAAAATCACCCAATGCTCAGCAATGCCCTAGGAAAGGACAAAGCTCGTCACCTAGCGGTGAAGGCAGCACATTCAGATTTTCTTTTGGCCACCCCTAATTCCGGAATGCCTTGGGCACTAGCCTCAACCCTCAGGCCATTCAGGTTGGTGTAGTTCTTCGCCTAGCAGCCACCTTACTCATCGAACACAGGTGCACTTGCGGCAGGGAGTCAGCTGCCGCAAGTGCACCTGTCGCATTTTCCATGTACCAAGATCTTGAGGCCAGGTCACGATTTGTAAACAAAGGAACAAGCCTCCACTATTACTTGTGCTGAAAGACCAATACCTGGAGGGTATTCCGGGGATCAACGCCTCCACGGCCCGGTGGATCAGGGCCTGATCAACCAGGCTGTTACTGCAGGCCGCACGTAGTCCAACGTACGAACCACAGCCCGGGTACCGCTTCATATATTACAATATAATCACTTACTGTTTTGATTTACTCTTATATTTTGCAATTTCCAAACTGACCAGTTGTTGAGTCGAACAATTTTTTAACAGGCCTACTGTATGCAATCTACCCATCCATTTCATGTACAAATTCTAAAGCGAACTCGTGAAAACTGAATAAATACCTATAACTTGGCTTGTCTACACCCAAACTGTTTCTCAGTAGAAAGATTTTTCCTTTTGAACCTTGTATCCCATTTTTCCTTAATAATCTTATATGTTGTTTTAACTCTCGTTGTTCACGAAATATATAAATTTATGGTAGCCTCGTCGTGTCCGGTTTTCAGTAATATGATTAATTTTTTTTTATTCTATTGACTAATGCTTCCTCTTTTAATCCATTTAACTGTTCCACCACTGAAAATAACTAACATAGTCTCGGCTCCACTTTTTTTTTAATATAAAACTGTAGCTTCTTGTTTTCCTTGCTGGAGGTACCAATAAGTATCATTTCTTTCATATACGAGAGAGAGAGAGAGAGAGAGAGAGAGAGTTTTAAAACAAATATGCTGTAGAAGAGAGCCTCGTCAGTTGCTGTCACATCATCAGCATCAAGTTTCAGTAACATAAGGGATGGAGACCGTCAAGTCGTTATCTTTAATAATGCCCACTGATGACACAAGCCCCAAACTCTTATTTTGTGCCTTTTACACACAACACAATATATATATATATATAATATATATATATATATATATATATATATATATATATATATGGAATCGCGAGAGCAGGCGAAATATACACAACCACTGATCTCTGGATGAAGGAGACTCGAACCTACGAACCTTAGGACAAGGTACGCAGTGCTTTACCAATCTACTCACACTGGACAATACCTTGGCGTTAGCTGCGCTACACGTTTGATCCAAGGCAGCCAGAAATCAGTGTTTGTGTATATTTCGCCTGCTCTCGCGAATTCCTTGCATTGTTCAAATCTCTAGTAAGGCTGATGCATGCACGGGATGAGATGAAAAGCTGTAAGCATTCTCCCTGAAAGCTGGCTGCCTTGGATCAAACGTGTAGCGCAAGCTACACGCCAAGGTATTGTCCAGTGTGGGTAGATTGGTAAAGCACTGCGTACCTTGTCCTAAGGTTCGTAGGTTCGAGTCTCCTTCATCCAGAGATCAGTGTTTGTGTATATTTCGCCTGCTCTCGCGAATTCCTTGCATTGTTCAAATCTCTAGTAAGGCTGATGCATGCACGGGATGAGATGAAAAGCTGTAAGCCTTCTCCCTGAAAGCTGGCTGCCTTGGATCAAACGTGTAGCGCAAGCTACACGCCAAGGTATTGTCCAGTGTGGGTAGATTGGTAAAGCACTGTGTACCTTGTCCTAAGGTTCGAGTCTCCTTCAGCCAGAGATCAGTGTTTGTGTATATTTCGCCTGTTCTCACGAATTCCTTGCATTGTTCAAATCTCTAGTAAGGCTGATGCATGCACGGGATGAGATGAAAAGCTGTAAGCATTCTCCCTGAAAGCTGGCTGCCTTGGATCAAACGTGTAGCGCAAGCTACACGCCAAGGTATTGTCCAGTGTGGGTAGATTGGTAAAGCACTGCGTACCTTGTCCTAAGGTTCGTAGGTTCGAGTCTCCTTCATCCAGAGATCAGTGTTTGTGTATATTTCGCCTACTCTCGCGAATTCCTTGCATTGTTCAAATCTCTAGTAAGGCTGATGCATGCACGGGATGAGATGAAAAGCTGTAAGCCTTCTCCCTGAAAGCTGGCTGCCTTGGATCAAACGTGTAGCGCAAGCTACACGCCAAGGTATTGTCCAGTGTGGGTAGATTGGTAAAGCACTGTGTACCTTGTCCTAAGGTTCGAGTCTCCTTCAGCCAGAGATCAGTGTTTGTGTATATTTCGCCTGTTCTCACGAATTCCTTGCATTGTTCAAATCTCTAGTAAGGCTGATGCATGCACGGGATGAGATGAAAAGCTGTAAGCCTTCTCCCTGAAAGCTGGCTGCCTTGGATCAAACGTGTAGTGCAAGCTACACGCCAAGGTATTGTCCAGTGTGGGTAGATTGGTAAAGCACTGCATACCTTGTCCTAAGGTTCGTAGGTTCGAGTCTCCTTCATCCAGAGATCAGCGTTTGTGTATATTTCGCCTGCTCTCGCGAATTCCTTGCATTGTTCAAATCTCTAGTATGGCTGATGCATGCAGGGGATGAGATGAAAAGCTGTAAGCCTTCTCCCTGAAAGCTGGCTGCCTTGGATCAAACGTGTAGCGTAAGCTACACGCCAAGGTATTGTCCAGTGTGGGTAGATTGGTAAAGCACTGCGTACCTTGTCCTAAGGTTCGTAGGTTTGAGTGTCCTTCATCCAGAGATCAGTGTTTGTGTATATTTCGCCTGCTCTCGTGAATTCCTTGCATTGTTCAAATCTCTAGTAAGGCTGATGCATGCAGGGGATGAGATGAAAAGCTGTAAGCCTTCTCCCTGAAAGCTGGCTGCCTTGGATCAAACGTGTAGCGCAAGCTACACGCCAAGGTATTGTCCAGTGTGGGTAGATTGGTAAAGCACTGTGTACCTTGTCCTAAGGTTCGAGTCTCCTTCAGCCAGAGATCAGTGTTTGTGTATATTTCGCCTGCTCTCGCGAATTCCTTGCATTGTTCAAATCTCTAGTAAGGCTGATGCATGCACGGGATGAGATGAAAAGCTGTAAGCATTCTCCCTGAAAGCTGGCTGCCTTGGATCAAACGTGTAGCGCAAGCTACACGCCAAGGTATTGTCCAGTGTGGGTAGATTGGTAAAGCACTGCGTACCTTGTCCTAAGGTTCGTAGGTTCGAGTCTCCTTCAGCCAGAGATCAGTGTTTATATATATATATATATATATATATATATATATATATATATATACACACACACACACACATGGGGACCCCTCATCCTCAGTGAAGATAATTTTCTTATCCTACCATCCCCACGGTCTAGGCTTACCAGCCCATCATCTTAGCCATTGCACCACGGAGGGCCATTAGGTTTCCCCCACCTAGACTCCTGGGCAGGTTGGTGATGGCCGCTAACGAGTTTTTTAATGAGAAACTTCGATCCGGCCAGCAGCCAGTCATCAATTCTGGTTCTTGTCCCTATGCAACTTGCCAATGTGCCGAAAATTCGTAATTAACGAAGGTAACAATTCATTGGATTGATCGGGATTCAAACTCATGGTGTGGAATTAACAGCCAGATGGGCGGGTAATGCCAGACTGCGTGTACGTTCGTGCTTTTACGTACGTACATACTCAATATGGCTTGTTAATCTCATTATGGCGGGTGAGGGAGTCTTCACTCCCTGACCTCCAGGAGTGTCTTGGACTCCTTATCCTCCAAATCAAGCGCCACCTCCTGACACAATAAGGAAGTTTATTTAGATACAGGTACACCTTAGTACAATTGTGATAACTAGTAACATATGTGTAAATTACCTAGGATAACCTCACGCTACCTCTATGCAACCAATAACAGCAAACAAAGTTGCCCTCAGTGGGTCAAGACAATTATAC